CTATCTAACAAGAAAAGAACTGTTTCAGTGTTGTTTAAACAGCTTCAGAAGCTGTTACACCTGTATTTTTATGTAAAAAAATAAGAATAAAAAGCAGTTCAAATCCCTAGTATTATATAACCATTTTAAGCGTGTATGTTTGCCGGTGCCAGTTTATTAGATATGATTCATGCAACCAATCTAAAGCATTTGAACTGAGGTTTGAACTGGAGCCAGAAAAAAAGCCTAGAGAATGGCTTTAAGGTCATTTCCAGCTGGATCTATGATAATAATAATAATAATAATAATAATAATAATAATAATAATAATAATAATAATAATAATAATAAGCGCCAAACCTGGTCGCATATTTAGCACCAGTCTTTCATTTTGTTATATCTTTTTTTTCATCATCTTAGAAATCATCATCTGTTCCTCTGCTGATGTCTAGAGTTCGACTAGGTGGCGCTGACTGAATTTATTTTCTTTGGAAGAAAAATTAAATGGTTCCCTTTTATGTAAGTGCGAAGGACAAAGACTGGGTTGAAAAAGAACCGCTGTGATATGATATTATCACTGACTGGGATTTTACGTTTTGTCAAGTTAACTAACACAAAGCAAGACAAACTTTGTTGAACTTCCTTTGTAGTGTACCCCTAAGTCAGCTGATGGCTTACGTTAACATCTCTGAGGTTTGCAACCTTCAGTTTTATTCCCTTCAGTGTTAAGCTTCTGTAAATTATTCTGTATTCATAAAACTTAAGAAACGTGTAATGTAAAATTCCCCTTCCCACCTGCCCCTCTTCTTATTCTCGCTATTATTTTTTTTGCTATGCTCTAGTTGTCTACTTTAAAGGTGCTAATTATGTACTGTGGTCACGCAAAAACAAAAGAAAGGCAATCAAAATATAATTTACTATATTCCACATATATGTGGATAATGTCAAGTGAACACCTGGCACCTATGAAAATATTTATCTAGGCTGGAATCAGTGCTAACAGGACTTTTCTTTTGGCATGCAGTACCCCGTCTGCTGGTAACCTTCCGCTACGTTTCGACTCCAAGAAGATTTAATACTGATTAAAATAAACACACAGTCTTAAGTCATTACCCACTTTATTGAGATAAGTGGTAAGGGTGTTGGAGACTAGGAAATCTAAGTGACATAGCTGTTGTTTAAAGAGCGCAGGGTTGGGAAATGAATATCAGCACGAGACGTGACCCCAAGAAAAAAGAAGAGGGTAAAGGAGGAAGCATAAAAGTGCTTTAGAGATTATTCAGAAGTTAATTTCACTTACTGTTGGCTAATAATCAGGTGGTTACACATTCACTGCCACTTATCTTTCGACTTAGTGGATAAGCCAGCTTAAGCTCCGTTGGTGACATGAAATGCAAAAAGCCAAATCCACATCTCAGTGATGCCCACAGAGTGTGCACAGCTAATGCCGAGGCCTATGTTAATGTTTTATTTAATTTAAAGTGTCTCATACTTTCAGACATTTTCCTTCACTGTCAGTATTTGTATATCAGAGCCTCTAAGTGAATCTCAGCTTTTTGAATATCTTGGTGTGTGATTAACTATGTGAAACCTTGACAAAGAGAGTGTGAGAAAATGAACAGACAAAGAGACAAAAACACATGTACCGTGTGTTTGTCTTTGAGCCAGGGAATGAAATATAGGGCCTGAAGTGTGTGTGACTGAGTGTGTGTGTCCTGGCACGTGTGAGGTGGTGTGTGGGCGTCGAGAGGGAAAGCTCATAAAACCCATGATCACACTGATGAGGTCACAGGGAGTGAAACCGGAGAAAGCCTTTCATTTCCTGTCTCATTCCATCCCTCTCTCTCCAACTTCCATTCATCCATCTCTCCTCTGTCTATACTTTACTTCTGTTTTTCACAAGTAATGCCAAGAGCCAAAGTCTTTCTCACCCCCACGTCTATCTGGAATTTTTCACTGTGTCACCTAAGGTTGGAAAACAGGGATATAAGAGAGAGTTTTGCTTTTTAATCTGCCTGACGTTTGTGTTGAGCTTTAACAAATGAGACAGGAAAATGTAATTCCTGCTTTTCACAAACTCCTTTCACATGTGCTGTGGTTTTTCACACGATGTGTTCACTGTATGGGCTTCAATGGGTAAAAACGTCTGTCAGTTACAAAACTCTTGCACTCTTACCAACTCATTTGGTCTTTCTTAAAACTACAATCAGGAGTTAACAATAAAAAGTATATATAATCCTCCACATGCTCAACTGCCAGGTAATGTCATTTAAGAGGGTTTAATGATTTGACCTTCAGCGGATACAGACGTGTTTAATAAAGTCTACCAGCACCAAATGCCCCAGAAAGTTCTGTTTTATCTACTCCAGTATTTGCATAGTCCCACAAAAATGGAGAGGTGTTAAGCAAAGCTTGATACAATTGCAAGTAACACCAAACCTATGGCACTTTTTACAACTATTATTGGTTGCAAACAGTGATTAGATGTCTATCAGGTGGTCTGAGAAATCTGAGATCAGCAGAGAAAGACATATTTTCTACTCAGTGTTTGCTTAGCAGGATGTATTTACTAGCTGTGAGAACTATTCTCTCTACGCTTTCGATAAATAAAAAAAAAGTTCATTTCATCTCCACCTGTGCAACAAAATATGCTGAAAGAGGGCCCAACACAGCAAAATGGGCTGTTTCTCTTTGTTAATTTGACTTATGAAACCACAAATAGCCATCATGCTTTATGAGTGAAAGTGTGACACTTGTTCAGCAGCTTTCTTACAATCAATTTTCTTCACATTTCACCAAAACCTCAAGGTACACCTGAGCTCACTCCACAACGCAACAGTCGAGAACCGGTGCAGCAGTGGATAACAGAGAACTACACAACCGCTCCTGCAGATACTCTGCTTCTTATCGCAGATTCATTACTGGTCAGTGTTTGGCAAAAACTCCAAGGTGCGGGAGTAGCTGGCTGCCAGATTGACTGTCCCATCTGTGTGCTCACGTTTAGTACAGGGAGGAAAATTAACGGCAGGAAAGGCAGGAATGGTGCTGAGGGAAGCTGTGTTTACTTTCACAAATAGTTGCGTTCCCCAAGACAAAAACACTGCAACATTAAAACAAGCTACAAGATATGAGATCAAAACAAACAAAAGCAAATAACTGACAAGAGGAGTTAACATCAAATGTAAAGAGGCACCTTGACTGGAACAAAAAATTCCTTAAAAGTAGAGCGAAGTACAGTAAAAGAGCCTAGTCTGTATTTGTGTGCAGTTTTCGTATATCATCACCAAGCAAACTGCCACTACTGATTAATCTTGATCTAACATCTCTTTGTATTTGTGCGTATAGAATATATATTCCATTTGTTCCCCCAAGGGGAAATAGTGAAGCAGCAGTGCTAAGAGTGATTCGGTATTCTGCATCCACTGTAAGGTTTAGCACAGGGGACCTCAGGCTTTCTCAGAACCATATTTCATGTATTTTTAAATTTTTTATTTATTCTAGTTTCATAAAAACAAACAAATTAGATAATGTGGATAGGGAGTCTGGGATTAATTTTGAAGCAGCTGATTAGTGTGTGTTTGGATAATTGTGTCTGGGACCAAGCCTAAAAAGCCTTCAGGCTTTACCGCAGTCTGGAATACAGAAACACTCCCACCTCCTCCTGCTATCGCTGCCTCTGCTTCAACAAACCCTCCTTCATTCTGTCTTTTCATGTTTTCCGGTGCACATGGAAGAAAAACTTGCTTCTTTTACTTGTTTTTTTCATCTCTTGATACATAAGGTCCTTGATTTCTTACACCTTCAGTTTCTCCATGCCTCATGCCAGCGTGCTTCCCACTCATCCCCCACCTTTACTCTTGCGTCTCCTCATCTCCTCAAAAAAGTGAAGCATATCATATAACGCAATTTGCTGAAATTGTTCTTTTTCATCAGGAACACAATATTTATTATTTAGATATAACATGTACATACGTGTATATATATATATAATAGTATGTATATTATATATATTTATATATATAATACATATATATATAATATATATATATATATATGTATATTATATATATATATTATGTATATGTATGTATTATATATATATATATATATATATATAGTAGTATGATGTGGTATATATATAGTATGTATACTATTATATATATAAACAGTGACTTGAAGTGATCACAACATACCATAGCAAGATAGCATACATGGAACGCCATAACCAAGTGGCCGGCATAGTGTACAGGAACATCTGTGCCGAGTTAACCTGGAAGTCCCGAGGTCAAAATGGGAGATGCCCCCAAGGGTGGTGGAGAATGACCGAGCTAAGATCCTGTGGGACTTCCAGATACAGACGGACAAAATGGTGGTGGCTAACCAACCGGACATAGTGGTGGTAGACAAACAGAAGAAGACGGCCGTAGTGATCGATGTAGCGGTTCCGAATGACAGCAATATCAGGAAGAAGGAACACGAGAAGCTGGAGAAATACCAAGGGCTCAGAGAAGAGCTCGAGAGGATGTGGAGGGTGAAGGTAACGGTGGTCCCCGTGGTAATCGGAGCACTAGGTGCGGTGACTCCCAAGCTAGGCGAGTGGCTCCAGCAGATCCCGGGAATAACATCGGAGATCTCTGTCCAGAAGAGCGCAGTCCTGGGAACAGCTAAGATACTGCGCAGGACCCTCAAGCTCCCAGGCCTCTGGTAGAGGACCCGAGCTTGAAGGATAAACCGCCCGCAGGGGCGTGCTGGGTGTTTTATTATATATATATATATATATATATATATATATATATATATATATATATATATATATATATATCTATGATACATATAGGATAGATAGATAGACAGACAGACAGACAGACAGACAGACAGACAGATAGATAGATAGATAGATAGATAGATAGATAGATAGATAGATAGATAGATAGACATATAGATAGATAGATAGATAGATAGATAGATAGATAGATAGATAGATAGATAGATAGATAGATAGATAGATAGATAGATAGATAGATAGATAGATAGATAGATAGATAGATATGTTTAATATTTTAACTTCAAACCATCAACTGCAGATGAAACAGCACTAAGCAGAATTTCAGTCTGTTTGTTCAAATGGTTTTCTTTAAGGTATCCAAAAGTCAATAACAACTGCTAAAATCAGAAGACAAAGAACATAGAGAAGAACTGATTTTTCTTTTATTCAAGTAATAATCCAAGAGAATAATGAGAATACCAAGTATTACAAACATTAGCAATAGTCGCTCAAGTATGTCATATTCAGCATTACAAACAACTAAAGTGCAAATAATTGTGATATCATCTCACTAAGCTATCCAATCAGAGTCTTCGTTTCAAGATCAGAAAACATATTTCTGCCTTTAGTTCAGCAAACAGGTGTAGTGCTCTGTCCCGAGCAAAGCACCCCCTCTAAATGACAAACAGACTGAGAACAAGTCCCAAATGAAGTGTCCTAACTGTTAAACATGACTTGAAATTTTTGCTTTTATTTCTAAACTTGCAACAGCTGTTCACTGAAATTGATCATTTTAAAACTAGCCAAGTTAGGCACTAGTCACACAGGATTCGAGAGTGGTCGGCAACCATCTGGTGAGCACTGGTCATGGGGGGTAAAATGTGTATTCCCTGACTGGTTGTCAAGTTGTTGCCTGAGGAAATCAATTCAATTCAAGTGTTGGTTGCAGTGGAGAGGCACAGCAAGTTTTACAACAACTCAAATAGTCACTGCCACCAGCCTTCAGGAATTACTTGTCAGTGGGTCACAAAACAGACATTTTACCCTAAGAATCAGAGACTGCCAAGGGGGTCACTGACCAAGGTCTGTGTATCTCAGGCCTTAGCAGTTTAAAACCTGTAATTTTCTGTCACACTTCTAGTGAAAATCATAGGTATTAAGTGACTCTATTGCAAGACCCTGATCAGGTCCAGCCCAATCCGTCCCCTCTGAAGGTCAACATTCAGGACCCGGACCTCCACTCGTTCCCCAGGTCCTAGAGCCAGGCTGCGACGACGCTGGCTGACAGGCAGCTTGTCCAGGGTGATGTTGCTCTTGTGGATGAGGCCTGCACGGCCAACGCCAATATCTACAAAAGCCCCGAACAGAGCGGTGTTGTCCACACGGCCTGTCAGCACAGCACCCACCCGCAGATCACTCATGGACACAACGCCCCGCTTAAAGTCCGCTTGTCCAAAATCTGGGAATGACAAAAAGATAGCTAGACGCAAGGTGTGGAGCGATATCAATGACAAAATAATACACAAGTGGCAGACAGTCGAAGTGTTTGGGAGTAAAAAGTGGGATAAGGGAATGCAGAAAAAAATTGTTGATGAGGCAGACATGAAAAACATAACATTTCGAGCAGTCACTCAATACTTGTATCTACATACGTTTATCAGCAGTGTATTAAACCCCACTTTCCACTTTGCCTGCTCATAAGACCTGTTTCCTGTCTGTAACACTAACACAAAGGACTGTGCTCCAGGAAATAGTCCCGTCCAATTATCCTCCCAACAGCACTGATTTCATGCAGTAGTCTTAGCCCATCTGTTTATTCAGCTGAGCACTGGCTATGAGGCCAAGCATAGTGTACTGCAACCGAATAAGGCTAACCTGAGAATGAACTTTGAAGCCGCGTTCCTCAATTTTAAGACAAGTTAGCCAGCAATAAGTGGGTAGACTTGACTTCTTTCCTCTTCACATAAAATAGTATTTAACTAGCCAGTCTGAAAATAATTACTCTTTTGTACTTACATCTTTTTTTCCCTGTTTTGGGGAAGACCGTCAAAGAAAAATATGTTGCACAAATATTAAAGTGCTCTGTGCCATTTTTAATCAGGATTTGAGAGTTGATGCTGACTTATATTTCCTCATTATCAATAAATAGGCTGCTTAATCAAAAACAGAAGAGCAAGAGATGTGTCCTATTTTTTTCCTTGAGAAAACAAATTTGAGCTACAGCAACAGTTTGTAACTATGGATGGGGTTTTAGTGGTATGTTTGTATGTGCCTGAACTGAAGTGTTTCAGATTAAGGAGAAAAACAGAGTTCTTTGTGCATTTTGTATGTGTGTCTCTGCAAAGAGACGCTGCCCAACAACACAGTCTGTTGGACCCATCACACCCTGTCAGAAACACACTGCTTGTATTGTGGGGCTACAGGGAGGAAGCCACAGCACTGTCAGATCCTATCAAGTTACACTGCCAAGACATGCCTATTATAGTAAAGGCAAGAAAAGTCAGTGTGTGTCATAACTAGCAAGATTCTCAAAGAGCTGGATGAATACAAGTTTGATTTTCTATCAGTCAGTGGGGACCTATAAAGGACATCATGAAGGAAAGATGAGAGGCCAAGGGAAGTTACTGTGACTGATAGGCTGCAGATATGTGCAGTCTACAACATTTTTATACGATTCAAAATACTGATAGTTTTGAGATATAAGGAAAAAAAAACATGCATGATCAAGGGTATACATATGTTTCATTGGCTTTCTTCTATTTAAATACCTTTTAAATAACAAAGTCAAAGTAACATTTATGTAAACATATTAATGTCAACATCTCATTTTCCTATTAAAACCAAATTTTTAAAAAAAATGTTTATATGCATTAACATGTTTTTCCTTCAGCATTTTCAACACTGTCCTTTGTATTGTTCTTCTGATTGAATTGATATCAGTATATTAGTGAGTGGCCGGAGTCTTACTTTGTCGTATGTCAAACCCGGGGGGCTGCGTCAGGCCGTCTATAATGAGTTTGAGGGTCTCGGGTGTGGTGTCCAGGGTGCGGGCCAGCTCCTCTACACTGCTTGTCTTAACTTTGTTCTCCACACAGTGTTTCAGGGTTGTACTCCCAATTTGGTCCACACTCCCACCCACAAGAGACAGAAATCTGGACAGGAGAGACGTGCAGAAATTTAAGCTTAGAAATAAAACCACAAACCTACTTGACTTCATAGACCCTTACCAATAATAGATACTCATTTTTAGGGATTTAGAAATTCAAATATCATTATTATTTACTAGAGTTTAGTGTTCTACCGTTATACTGAAAAGGGAAAATGTTGGGATAATTTATCTATATTTCTAGCAATGTATTCCATAAACTAGCACAAAAAACATTTGGAAAACGCTTCACCACAATCGCTCACATGATGCTCCATCTCCAGTTTGTATTGCTAATTGCAAAGTGTCGCTACCAGTAGGGGAGTAGTTTTTGCAGACACGGCATTGACTGTGCAAACTACAAACAACCACCAAAGAACTTGCAAGGAGGTTTTTGGTTCTGCACCAAGTAACTCTTTTCAACCAGTTTCACCTTGTGACTACCAGCAAAGTCCAGAAACCACTTGCCAACTAGTCAAGGGAAGAAACACCCTTCCATTAGCAACAGAAATTTGCCAGGAGGGGTCACTGACCCATCTCTAGGCTTGCATGACTGGGGTCTAAGAGTAGATGACAAACAGTAAAGGTAAAAACAGAGAAGAAAAAAAAAGATGCTGGAAAAATGGAGGGGAAAAAAAACATATAAAGCTTATACAGGAAAAGTGAGCAGGCACTGGGGAAAAATAGGGAGAGCGGCAGAGGTGTGTGAGTAATTCGCAAAAAGTTGTGAGTTGTCAAGGTGGAGTTTTCTGTGTTGGATGCAAAAACACATATTTAATTTACCCCTGGTAAACCAGGTAAATCCTCATTGGGCTGTAAACGCTCTGACACCTTGTTTAATGAAACTGCCTCCACTGTGCTAAGGCTGGACTTCGTGTCTGTCAGCCACACTTTTATCACTTGATTCCAGCACGATGTCCCAACACATAATGTCTAGACAGTCAAGTCGCACCACTTCAAATTCACTGAGCCGGAGATATAAATCCAAACTAATTAGTTGCTCTCTGTACTCTAAACAGAAACAGTAACAAATTGGCATTAGAGCCAAAGTAGCGAGCAGGGTTTATGGAAAAAAAAGTGATGTGTGTGTGTGTGTATTATACATACTGTAAATATTATTTACAACAGGCACTTGGCATATTTGGTGATAGATGTGACTGCATTTGTTTCTATGCATGTGTTCATGTGTGGACCAGCTGGGTAACATCCGTGATAGATGTCGCTCACTGGCAGGCTGACGCCAAACAGACTCAGCAGCTGTCCACGACATGATGGACAGAACAGGTGGACACACACCAGAACACACACACAAACCTGATTCATACACTGTGTTGTTCAGAAATGTTCATTTGGCAATAGGAGGGACAGTACTGATGTAACATAAAACAGCTTGTGTACAAACTATGTTTGTGACAGCTGTGCGTCGAGAGGCCCCTGCCATCGAAGTCCCTGTCTAACGCCCAAAAGAGGGAAACAAGCGGACTCGATCTCTCAACACCAGTAAGCTTGATCGGTACAAAATAGTAGCTAAGTATGTGCCAGACATGACTTAGTGGTAAGGAAACAACACCTTCGGACCAAACTGGATATCTGTATAACAATAAGGTCTTCTCTCCTGTGCCTCTTTAATCTTCTTAACTTTCCAACCACATATCTTTTAACAGGAAAAGAAATAGTTGTGTCTTGATTGCTTAGACACATATCATCTAGACCCCCAGTTGGACTAAAGCCAGGAAAAGGCGGCTGACATATAATTTCTTACAGAAAGCAAGCAGGATCATTTGTAAAGCTTTTCTTTGCACAATGCAACCAAGTTTAATTATATCATTAAGTACAATTTCTGATATTTTAACTCTTTATATATATTATAGAGTCATTTAAGTCATGCAGTTAATATACGTTCATATAAGTTTTTTTCCTGCTCCTTAATTCATATATACACTGTGGTAGAAGTTCAAAATCCAAACTAAATGTATGAGCACACTGGTTGACTAGCAGGAATACTAAAATCTTAAAACCTAAATAAAAGCAAATAGAAGAGCACAGGAGAGATATCTTAGAATAGATTAAGTGGGTGGAGGGCCCTACTTGTAGGTGTGTGTTTCACATTTCATTTTTCAGTGGTGTATGTTAGTATTTAAGGGGTACCAGGAGTCCACAGGCCTCCAACACCGTTGGGTTCATACTTATATAATTGCTACCAACACTGTGCATGTATTTTGGTATGTGTGTGTGAATGTAGCGTTGGGTGGGCTCTAATATAGATTTTATCCAGGCATACAATCAAGGACCCACTCTGTCTTCAGTTATAGAAATATTAGGCCCTGACTGTTACTTATGAGAACAATATTCATCACACAGTGGAAACTTGCTGTCTCAAACCAAATTACAATTAAATATTTCACATAATGCACTCACAGAATTAGGCTTCACTGATTTTTTTTTATTTTTTTTTTTAAAGGTGGACAAATCATGTGTGTGCTCTTGTGTTTCTGGTTTTGTGTGCGTGTGTGTATATGGTTACAAAAAGGGGTGGATGTGTAGGCTGTGAGCAGTAATGGAGGATCCAGTTCCACTAATGCGATGAACATGATATTCCTTATACAGCATAAAGACACACAAACACACACATACACTAACACACACAAGCATTCCTTTACAATTCTCCCTCTAAACCTTGTTTTCACCATTTGTAGGTGAGGAGGAGAGAAAATCTTTGCGGTATCTCAGTGATGCTCTCACAGCTAATAATCTAATCAATTCAAGTTGATTAGATTATTAGTGATTAGTAGCGATTATTAGAGTTCTGATTTTGAGTCAGTATACAAATTAGTGATTTTCCAAGTAACTCTTTGATTATGAATATAACTCACCAAGACTTTTACAGCTATAATCTAAAGGTTTACGTAAAAAGACATCCAAACTAGCCCAATGAGTGATACACTCGTCAAGTAGTATGGTCTATTTCCAGATCACTGTCATACCCTGTGATTTTAAGTTTAGTGGAAGGTTACTTATTTTCTGGTTTGTCAAAATAAAAGAGCAAGAACTGACATGGCTTTCCATGTACTGAAAATCTTTACAGAGACAGGTGATGTGCTGGAAACCACAACACACTTTGGGATACTTTCAGAACCCATACTGAATGGAGTACATTCCCAGACTTGGATTATAATACAGCCATAACACCGGATAATGCATTTGCCAACACAGGATTAAGAATTCTGAACAGCAAGAGAAATAGAAAAGCAGAGAACGATTAGATGTCCAGTGAGAAATTTCAATTGTGGAGTTAAATTCTATGGGAAAAATGCTAAAGATATCTTTAAACGGTTGGTAATTCTGGTTAAAAGAAGTTTTAATGTGAGGCACCATTGAGAAAGTGACAGGGAGGGGCAGTGAGAGAGCTGAAAGTATGGACGAGAAACGTGTCTGCCAAATAAATAAATAAAAATAAAAGAGAAAAACAAATAAATGTAACTAAACGTGTGCAGCTCAAAAAGGAGTGCAGAGGGTATTAACAGAAGAGTAATGTGTGCTCTTATATTTTAAGACCTCTGATCCCCAATACTTCTTTGATGAACTACTCTCTAGTGCAGTCTGTATTGAACACACAGACACTGAAGTAGGAAGTTTCATACACGCAACATCAATCTATCTGCACGTGTGTGCACAGAGATACATCTCCCCACATATATGTACAGACACCATCAACAAGAGGAGAGCAATGCTTAAAACCACTAGTGTCAGAACTTATGTAGACTAAACACAGTTGAGTGACTACAGCTGGATGAGAGAGGGCCCCCTCTCTCTCCCTCCGTTTTGTGTGTCCATCTGTTACACACACACAGATGCTCAATGTGCTTCTGATATCAGCATCAGCAGCGCTAACAATCATCTCTCACACAAGGACACACACACCACAGCCAACGCCTCCTCTCTTGTATCCCATGTCTGCGTAAATCAAATCAGAGCCCTCCACCACTATAACCAACCCCATGTGAGATGGTGTCAAAATCAACTCCATCATAGCCTGAACATGCTTTAGCCAGTGGGGTGGGCTGCTGTTCAAGCGTCCGTGTGTGTTTGTGTGCACTGTACCTTTGTGCTACATGGTAGGACTCCGGGTGTATACAGGTCTGATCGAGGGGGTTAAATGAGGTTGAGACGTTGACACCAGTTTTTCCCTTGCCTTTCTTAGCTGCAGGTTTCTCGGGCACTTCTGGTGCCTGGTTAGATGATGATCTGACACTGTTTTGGCAAGAAAGAAATGCATTTTAAATCACCCCAGTATTCCTGCTCTAAGACTATATATTGTTTTATATAAACATTAAGGGAAACGAAAATCTATCAAGCCATGGAAACATGCTGCATTTTGCTTTACTGAGCCCTGTGAATTTTGCTTCCATCCAAATATAACAGCGGTACAAGTGCTTCAGGCACATCCCACTGGGAGGAGATCCTGCCGCAGACCTGCGGCAACCTGGAAACATTATATCTCTAAGTTGGCTTGAAAACGCACCGGTGGTTGGGAAGTGGGAGGTCTGAGTTGCTAGACTGCTTAGACTGCTGCCCCCATCATCTCGGAGGGAAAAATGTCGGAAATACTGAATGGATGGATATTTGAAATAATCCAAGTACACTGTCAGTATTTCCCAACACATTTGACACGATTATCTAGAGTAACTAAAACATTTTTTCTTTAGAATAATTTCTGCATCACCTCACACTCCTCATAAATCATAAATAACTTCTTCAACCCATCTCTGTTTTACATGATATACACGATACAAACTCTTGGATGGTAATTCAACTGTAATTTTTACTGCTTTGAACACTACGAACTGAACCCCATTGAGAAATTCTCAGAACTTGGGTGCAAGTTTATCTAAACTACTTGCATCGCTAAATAATACAAAATGTCTATGAATAAACAGGGCGTTTTAGCAGTTTGTTCCAACAGACCATTGCATGAAAAAAGACAACATTGTGAAACAGAATTTGAGTGTTTGTCTGCTTGCTTTTAGGTCTATCTATGTGGATATACTGTGTATATGAGTGTGTACCTGGATAGAGTTTGTGGGTTTATTCTAATGAAGCCAGCACACTGCTGGTAGGACTTGGGCCCCATGCCTTTGACCAGCTTCAGCTGCTCCCTGTTGATGAAGGGACCGTGCTGCTCTCTCCATTCTGTGATACTCCGTGCCCTTCCCGCATTTAAGCCTGCTACATGCCTAGGAGATAAAACAACAGATTGAAGGGAGAAAAATTACTCATCTCACAATATATTCAAACAACTTCTTAAAATTATTCTACACTAGATGCTAAAACAACAAAACAGAACAGGTAATTAAATAAGTAGGATCTCAAGCTTGGTTGATATCCATATAGGTTGTATAACTATGGGATCACCTATAATAACTCTACAGTATTAGGCTTAGACACACACACCCACACCAAACAAACAGCAGATTCTGCAACCGTGACCTGGCATTTAAGCAAGCACTGGAAACACAAGTGACACACATAAGCCAATATTAAGCATGTATATTTGTCCAGTTCAGGCTGAGCAAAGACGAGAGGTGATTTGAAACTCAATTAGGTCTGCTCTGTTAATGCCCACAGTGACTCACTCATGCTAAAGCATGTGGCTATGTCAACACTCAGCATAATACCTCAGTCATCAACACGTCTGTGTGTGTTTCATGTGCGTTTGTGCATAGCTTAACTTTGTGGAGGAATGGAAAACGCTCACTTGCAGAGCAGACAGGTAAACAGATGACCTGATGCCTGCCTTGCAGCTAATGCCAGCTCAATTCATACTGTTTGTCTCCACTGCAAAAAGTGTGCATATGAAATTTCTGCACTTCCTACTTTTGACTCATGTTTATACTGCACAAGTTGTAACAAATAAGCACATGTGTGCACAGTGTTCTTGCATGTTTCTTCTTCAGCATGTATGTTTCTGTGAGTTTAATTGTGTCCACTGTTCCTAATCCTCTTTGTTAATACCAGTCAGCCCAGTAAGTGGGCCAAGGTGTGAAGCATTAGTCTAAACAGAAAACTGGCAGGCCATCTGTGTTTTTGTGTGTGTAGATCATGCAATGGCCTGTGCATGAGTGTGAATGAAGCCTTGCCATGTTGTGACTGCAAAGGGAAAGTATGCCAGAGGTCTGAGCCCGTCTTCATCTCGTTTTCAGAATTTTGTCTCTGTCTGCATATATTTGTGCAGCACACAGTGGTTGAGTGCAAACATGCACTTGCTTGTGAGGACATGTATTAAATGTTTTTAGGTATGTTTGATGTTTTGATTCTTAATTATCATCTAACATTAGCAAGACAGCTCACTGGTCCCAAACGAGCTATTTTAATGCATCCCTAGTCTGAGTCTACAGCCACGCTCAGTAAGAACCCTCTTCTGTGACAACATAGGCAAAGAATCTTGCAAACATAAACTGTCTGTAAAAGACGGACACAGGCAATGTGAGTCCCACAGTTCAGTCTAAGCTGAGTATAATTCCCATTTTAGTGTTTAGAAACTGTACACGGTGAAACTGAGGGGCACTGCAAGATTATTGGCTAGTGACTTCTCAATCAAATCATATCAAATCACATCATACTACAACTTTTGTTTCCACTACAAATTGGGTGCAGAAGTTTGAATTTAATTTGGATTTTCTTTAATCAACACAGGCTCAAAAGCATACATACAGGTTCAAATGTGTACATACATTCACTTACATTTTTTTCTACAATGTCCTAACTTCACAAGATGATCCTGACCAAGAAAGAAGCCCTGCTCCAAAATTAACACCTTTGTACCAGCTGTCAAGCATGGTGGTGACAGCATCATGAGCTCAGGCTGTTTTACTGCTTGTGGTAATGGTATATTGCACAGTATATGGAATAATCAAGGAGGACTACTCTGAAATTCTTCCTTCAATTTAAGGTTAAGGCGGGCTAAAGCAGGCTGTTGCCAAGTGCATACTTGTTGTTTGATTATTGGGGTTCTCTCTGTGTTATTGGAGCGTCTCTACCTTACAATTTAAAGCACCTTGAGGTAAGTGCTGTTGTGGTTTGTCGCTATATAAATAAAACTGAATTGATTTTTAGAAATTATGCGATATGTCATTTTGGGTACTCTACCTCATCAGTATCTCAGAGCAGATGTTAATGTCCACACCAACAAAGCTCACACACTCCTGCACCACGCCATCCAATGCTGTCTTCAAAGCTCCAGCTGACACGTCATGCTAAGAGAAAAAAGAAACATATTAACAAAACCAGAGAATTTTTAAAGTACAGACACACACAGAGACAGAAAGACACATGGCAAAAACTGGTTAAGCAAAGAAAACAACTTTAAATCACTGCTTTTATCTGTGTGTGACAGCAAATACAGGAATTCTTAGGATTTTTCACACCTCTTTGGGACAGATGAACACTAAAAACTAACACAGCTGCATGTAGCTGTGCTTTCTTTTTTCCCATCCAAATCTGTTTATCAAAATATTTTAATGGAAGATTTTAACAGACTTCACTTGAGCGTGTTCAGGTTAATTCCCATATATTATATTCCATTTTCACCACATACTGCTACTTGATCTTGTGCTGACAGCAATACAGCAAATATGAGGCAAATTTTAAACAAAAAAGGGAGTGAGAAAACTGATTGACAGGAGAAGTACAGAAGTGAAAGGAAAATGTTTCGTTAGGCCTTTCTGTGATTTTTCCCAGTAATACAGTGTTCTTGTCATTGTAGCTCTCAGTCTATAAAAGTACCTCCAAATGAAACTTTCACATTTCTCATCGACCAGCCAATCAAACATTAAACAGGAGATATTTTTCAAAAGCAGTGGAGCCTGTTTTGTTTTTTTAAATGAGAAAGGTTGACAGCAAGAAAGGAAAGGAAAGAAAATTATTGTCAACAAACTACTTAAGTACACAACCAAATAATCTTAAAGAAATATAAGGTCTGGCAGTGAGAAACACGAAGCCCTGTGTTGTGGTTAAAATCCAGGAGTTCAGCTACAGGCTGATGTCTCAGCAACTGCTTGAGGATTAGCTGACACTCTAAACTAGACTACTGTTGGTCTTTGAATGTGTTTGTGTGCATGTGTATGTCTGTCATGTGCATGAACATGACTGAGACTAGCATGTGCTGTCCTGTAACATGATCAAGCTTTTAACAAACACTGACTTGTAAACAGATGACAACAAGAGCAGCTAGCAAACACACCCTCTGTCAGCAATAACAGGATAGGAGGACAGATGAGGATAGAGGAGGGAGAGCGCGGTAGACAGAGAACACATGGGGCTCCAAAGTTTTTGCTTGGCTGTTGTGAACTACAATATGTAATTTCAGCACAGAACCTCCAATACTTATCACACATTTTTATGCTATATAGTTACAAAAATATTTCTATCTTGTTATCTTAAGTTAGCACTTAGCCTACAACAGATGTAGCTTTGCTCAGCAGACAGAGGATGACTTACAGCTAAAAGACAAAGTAGTACTGGAGAAAAACAGCATCTACAATCTGTTCTTTGTAAGTATAACCAGAGGCCTTTTGGAGACAATAATTAAAAAAAATTCCGAACAGGAACAAATAAAACTACGAATGATTTATGATTTCTGCTGAGTGGCTCTAGAAGCAGAAGCTCACAGGAGAAAGAGAAGACAAGGAGGAGGAAATCACCTGTCACACCAGAAAAGAATTTTCTCACGTGAGAAAGTTGGAGGTGCATAAGGTAGTGTGAGTTTTAACCTGCAGGAAAAATCCACTGAATGTGTTCTTAGATTCTTGCTGAAACCTTATACGGGCATGAGAAACACTAGAACACTTTAGGTGCTGCTTGGTTAGGGATGGGAACACTAAAAATGTAGCTTAATAAGCATTTATAGTAACTTCCCAAAAGTAAACAATAATCATAATAATCACATTTACACTTGAAACATTGTGACACTGCTCAATAATAATAGATATTTGCATAACAAATAAGGGACTGCTACACAGAAAAGGATATGCAAATATGTCGTAAGGAAGAAAGTAACGAAAAAATACAGGTGAAGAAAAACAACTGTACTAAACAACTGTGATTTCAGAGCTGGAGTGAAAGAGTTCTGCTCTATTAAACATCCACAATCCAGTCCGTGTGTTTCCGCTTCAACACCCAGGCAGCAGAGGCCCGCATGGCTCTGCGTCACAGTTTACAGTGGCGCTAACAGCACCAGTGAAGCATGTCATGCTGTATCTTTTTATCTATCGATCCACGTGTCACACTTTGTGAGGTATGTTTTCTATCTGATTATGCAACAGACGAGTCAAATAAAATGGCACGATCACTATTTTTAAGCTGCAAATTCTAGCTTTAGAGGGATGCACTGACCTAGTGTTCTTCTATTTTCATTTTATATTCAACTCACCTCGAGGTACACACTAACTAAAGAACATTAGAAATCACTTAATGCAGATTTTCCATCTGAGCCATCTAGATCATTGCTAAATGTTCTTCGTAGTATTTAGATTAGAGCTGTAAGGTGATGTGGAAGCATAGAGATGGTTTGCCAGACAAAGCTATATATGCTACTATCTCTTTGAAAATCACCTCCACTCCCTCATTCCTTCGTCCCAACTCCCAGCACCCAAACCTCAAATTCATACAGAACCAATGGAGTGGATCCCTATGTGAGAAGGTTATGTTTGGATTGGTCGGAAACCAGCCAAAGCCAGCCAACCAATACAAAGGAACAAAGTGCTTCTTTCTGCACCTCAAGTACTTAAACACTGTTGAGTTACCACATGTCAATCAGAGACAGTGAGAGAAGCACAGTGATGAAAACTACAAAAGAGACAAAACAAAAAGGGTTTTTTAGAGAGGTACTTTACTGATAAAACCTAGAGTACCTTGTCATTTCGACATTTATAAAATTGAAGTGAACCAGAAGGTGAGTAAACCAGAGAGGGAAAGGGGACTGACAGTAATGAATGAATGTCTTTGGACAGCAGGCTGATCGTTTATATGAAAGAAGAAGAGCCTGAGGGATGTAAATGACAGAAGGTTAACTGTGAGACTAGAAAAAGTTGCATTTCCTGCGAAAATGCAGTGTGAATGCTGTGTAGTGGAATCTGCTGAAAACAGCAGAAAAAGCAAAACTATCAGCTGAAGAGAGTTGTAGAAGCTGAAGTGCTTGCTGAAAATGGCTGTATTTGAAAGGGTACAGTGAAGAGTGTCAAGAAAGAGTGCATGCAAGCAGGGGAACATGTGCGGCAACCGCCACAGGCAGGATTTGAATCTTCGCCACCATATCTCACGGCAGCTGATCATCCCACTGAGCCAAACCACTTTCGGTCTCAACCAGAAATATGATGAGAGGCAAAATGTCCACTGTGCAGAAGAAGCTGAATTGTGCTGAAAAGAGGTGAAGAAGCTGAATGTTCAGCAAAAAGAGACAAAGAACCTGAAAATTGTGCTGAAAAGAGCAGAAGAGGCTGAAAATTCTGCTAAAAAGAGCAAAAGAGAATGAAAATTCTGCTGAAAAGTGGTGAAGAAGATGAAATTTGTGTTGAAAAGAGTGGAAAAAAAAGTTGAACTATTAACTGAAAAAAATGTTGCCATAAGCGGGATTCGATCCCTGCCCTCCTGCTCTGAGAACGGCTGCTCATCTCACTGAGCCAAAACATGGCTCAGCCAGGCAAGCAAAACCAGTGATCACACTCGTAATGTGGTCCCATTCAGCAAAATGGGCCAAAAAATGGCATAAAAAGCTTAATATCTCAAAAAGTATAAAAGTTGTGAGGACCAAAAGATATAGCAGGAATTAGCAGAAGGAGCGGAACAGAGGGAGTAGTTAACCAGCAAAGGTCTGAGCAACTAGAATAATAAGGTAGAAGAATAAAGAGAAACAGGAACTCAATAGTGTGAATGCCTGTGAGGCATTCACACAATAAAGAATAAAGAGAAACAGGAACACAATAATTAAGATCAAATGTCTGTTGGGTTCCAAGTGTTGTATTCAAACTGAGACACAAAGGCTTATACTCATGTATTAATTCTTGTAATGTGGGAAGCCACAAGTCAGTGAATGTTGTCACATCTACCAGAGGTTGATTAGTTAAAACTGTTTATAAATCAACCAGAGCAACAACTAAGGTATGCTGCCTCAGCAGCAGCCATGATTCCAAATTCTGCATCACCAAACTCAACCCCCACCCCTTCACAGATCTCCTCCCAGTTGTCAACAATCCACAATGTACTTGGCACCAAAGTGAAGTTGGGAAAACCAATTTTGAAGACAGACAGATAGACAATGGAGTGAAACTGCTGAGTGACGTCATTCAGTTTCACATAATAAGTGAACTATGTACAAATAAACAAGGCTATCTGAAGGTCATGATCTTGACTGACAGCACTTTTTAAGGCCTCTGAGACCTTTATATGTATTCTACATATGGAGCCTTGGCTGAGTATGCTTGTGTTTGTGGATGCAGGCATTACTAATGTTTTAGGCCCCTAAATGTGGTCACAACAATTACTTTATGAAGGTCTAAGACAATATGCAGACTAATCAGTGACTCTTCTCTACAGGCATATTATGAAACTTGTCTTTCTTGAAGGGACAAAAAGCAAGTCTTCAATATAAAAATAAATTTTAATAACCATTTTTAAGATGAATTTTAGGGTTAGGTTACAGGTTAGGCAAGTAGTGCATACAGTTAAAGTAGTTAAAGCGTGGGAGTGTGCATGCACACACAAGAGTGATCATTATGGAAGCTCAGGAAGTTAAGTAATAGCTATCAGGTCTTTGTGAAAGGTGATAGAAAATCATAAAAACATGTCCTTGCCATCATATCACTTTCGGGTGCTGATGAATGACTGGCATTTAACGACCTAACCAAGCACATACTCGTGTGCACAAACACATGCACGGTCACACATTACCCGAGGGAGTGCAAAACAGAACATGAGAAAACTAGAACAGAAAGCACTTCAAGAGAGGCACAGGAAGTCTCATCTATCATAATATCATGTTTGAGAATTTGGACAAAATACTCTATTCAAATGTTCCATTAACAAAAAGATTAGAGGCAATGTTTGCATTTTGTTTAATATAGATGAAAAATTAAGGACACAGTTGATTTAAATCATCATTTTAAGAACCAAAAAAATGCACCTTTCCTCCTCTCTTTTAAATAGTTTATTTCTTATTTGACAATTCTGCTGTTTGCTCTTGTTAACTATGAGGTTTGTGTGCTTTTTTCCCTTGAATATCCTACTATATAAACTAATTTTGATATAAAAAGGTAGCAATTACAAAGCACTTACCAAGAAATTTAAACAAGGGAAAGTAAATTGTACAACCTTAAAATAAGTAGCCTGGCAGCCAGATATGTATTATTTATTGCAGAATAAGAAGATATTTGGCACAAGCCTCTGTAAATCCATTATACAAACAAAGATGCAAGGTTTATTCATTTAACACCCTGCTTAAATGCACAAACACTCAAAAACATGCTTGAACAAATCTAAAGGAAATCATTAAAATAGTATCTCCTAATGTTTTTGGCACCTTCTGCCAAGTCTTAAAGAGCTTACTTTTTTTTTCCCACGCTCCAAAGCGACTAGGCAGGAACTATCAATCACTGTCAAGCCTTCATTTTTATTCTTCTTCTTTCCCTGTGCTCTGCCTGCTCCTGTCTGCCCCATAGGCACTACCATTCAAGGGTGAAAAACATGCCAAAGAAGTCACAGACACTTTCTTTCTACGCACACACATATCACTATGGGAAAACAGGCTTTGGTGTGAGAGTGACATCACTAGCACAGCATGCAGGCTAAAACCTCATATTCAGTCAAGCAAATCTGAAAGTCAGTGCAAATGTTCCTAAAAGAACACAAACTTTAGATTCCTTCAGCTACATGAGATGGTATTCTCTGCCATTTACAGTCTATACTCAGTACATGTTATATGGCAGTGGCATATCATACCACCTGCTCAACCACCTCAGCCGAAGCCACTCAAACATGTCTGAGAGCACGAGCTGTCTGTTACCCTTCAATGACGATTTTGGACCTAAAAAGGGAGCACTGAGTACAACCAGGCTATGAAGACAGTACTTATACTTGTGGTGTGTGACCCAGAGTTAAACAAATTGTTCATCCAAGCATTGCTGGAGCACTTGCTAGCTGCACTCCATAATCTGGCAGAATCAGCAAACGTTGGATGGTAATCCAAGCCATCTGCCACTCACCCCCAACTGGTCGCGGCAGATGCCTGCCCCTCCGTGAGCCTGGTTCTGCTGGAGGTTTCTTCCTGTTAAAAGGAAGTTCTTCTTTCCCACTGTCACCAAAGTGCTTGCTCACAAGGGCTCAAGGGGTTTTCAGTTTCAGTTTTAATATGTGACAATATTGTGCAGGCTCACGAAGAGGTACAGGATTAAGTTACTTTACTTATTGCTGTACAAAAGTATTAAACAGTTACGTTACTGTTAAAATTTCCAGGGAAAACACTTCCTAGGTTACTTTTGTGCTTACATTTGACTTGTGCTGTGTCACTGTATACAATGCTGTGTCACTAGTATTGCACTATAATGCTGCTGGCGGCACCTTGTGGCAACAGATTCACACTTTCGATGGCATCAATTTGTTCACACTTATAAATGCTGCCTAGAAGCTGCGATCAGTATTTTTTTTTCTACATCCTTATAAATATCATTATCTCAGATTTCCTTGAAATATTGCACTATAATTTTGAGGTTGTATTACCCACTCCTAACACGTTGTAGTATTTGAAAGAAAACATGAAATTAAAGGAAGGCAGATGAAGGGCATTAGTTCAGGTGTGTGAAGAGTTTTACAAAAAGTTAGAATTGGAAGAGAAAAACAATCAACAAAGGTGAGGGGAAGAATGACAGTTTCTTTAATATCCGGCTGGCGGGTAATGTTTTCTTACACAGCAGTGTGCGTCTGTGTGTGTGTATTTTCCAGTAGTTCATTTCACATCCCTGGGGATTTCCCAGCTGTCAACAGACCATAGCTACATAAAAAGGTGACTGACAGATGGAGGTCTGGTTCAAAGGAAAGTTAGTGTCTAATTATTAAAGAACAGAAGACTCCAGCAATGTTTACACACTTAGTTTTCTGTACTGTGCCGATGTGTAAGTAGCCTTTTAAATGTCAGTGTCCTGTTAAAGCTAATGACACTGGCTCCTCATTCTGACATGTTTCTGGCTTTTCAGCATTCAAAAAAAAAAAAGGAAAACTGTCAGCCAGCGGATCCACAGTGAAAACAGCGTTCCCACCCCAATACTTGCGTCCAATCTGATTTTAATGGGCCTCACTTCTTTAGCCCTCAGCTCATTTCCGTCTTTCCCTCAGAGCTGTCACTCACTGGGTCAGCAGGGAGAGAGAAAGAGAGCGCATGCTGTGCCAGCTGTCTAGAGTTACATCTACCCTTATGCTTTTTGGGTCTAATGGCAATAAACTTTCCGAAAGCTCAAAAGGCCATATAAAAGAACTTGCTAGAAAACAAACGCATGCATGACTGCCCTATTCTCACACATATACATTCACGTATACACCAATGCAAATGTATGCACACACATTACATACTGACTCTGAAAAAGGATGGGAAGAAAGTGTGTATGCTTTGCGTGAGCTCATACACAGGTCAAGATGATGTCCCATCTCATATCTGTCAGCACCCAGAGTTTATTTACTCGGTAAGATTAGCATTTGTTGACCTAGTCACATGATCTGAGAGCGGGAGGTGCAGAACCCTGAGCACCCTAGAGAGTCAAGATCAGGACGTGATGAGAGACACGGGCCTGTGACCTAACACACACAGCCATGCACACAATCATTTGAACAATATGACCTCCTCCTTTTACTTTCAAATGTTAAATTTTTCCCATCATTCCTTTACTTTGACTTTTGTCACCCTCTGCTGTTCTTTTTAACCCCCCTCCCTTCCTTCTCTTCTTCCACTGGTGAATTCTTTTTCTTAACACTGAAATATTAGCCAAAGCAACACGTGAAAATGCTTCTTACGCTCCTTGAATGACAGCTCTTGAAATAACCTTGATAAAAGATATCAGTGTATTACTTAGTTACAATTTACCCTGTACAATACTGACTTAGTGAGCAGAAACCTCCTCTCAGCAGATAAACAGCACCTCGTCTGTTAGTTGATGAATGAAAAACCAACTGATAACAACTTCAGTCTCCTTTTTACTAAGCCAAAAGCAAAAATTCTTTTTCATCAATGACAAAAATATCTGCTTTTTTAGCAATTAAAATTAAATTAAATTAAAAGTTAATCAAAATAAAGTCAGTCCTACAGTGCATCAATTCTTCTCTCTCATCATTTCCCAGTGATTAAATGGGCTTCACATTTCTATTACAAAGAGGAATTCCACCAATTTAACACTAGACCTGAAAACTCACTCAGCCTTACAGTACATCAGCTCTTCTCTCTCATCACTGCCCAATAATTAAATGGTCCTCACATCTTTATCAGGAACAGGAATTCTACCAATTTAACAATATAACTGAAAAACAACTGCTGCAAAAAAGCACTACATGTTCTGCAGTTTACACCCTCTCTTCTACATGCTTTAACTATATCCAATAAAGCCTTAAAAAGAACTTTATTATTACTTTTTTTTGTAGTACATAGCATCTAATAGTGGATCCATCATGTACAGCTGACAGTCGTTTATTGTGACCTTATTGTATTTGCCTGTGTCATCCTCATTCTTTTCCGTTTTCTACTTATTTCCATCTCCTCATAGCCTTTTCTTCCAAGACCACATGGAGAACAATACTGCATTCATAGCTGATGCTAACAGTAAGCTCACTGACATAATGCTCAGATTGCCTTTCTCGCACAATTACATACCCACTCGCAATGCAGAAAACCAACACTGAGCCAACTCCTGCTTCATACACATGCATGCGCACGCACACACACACACACACACACACACACACACACACACACACACACTGGAAAGAGTATAAAAGAGTTGGCAGTGCACACAAACGGACAGAGAACGGCAATTAAACAAGCAAAAACAAATGTCCAAACATACGTCATGCCTGATCTCCATTAATTGAATTAGTCATCCTTAGCATCATCTGTTGACACAGCTCTCAGCCAAGTTTATCTTCTTTGTCCCTGCTTGCCTGTTTTGCCTTTTTTCCTCATCCCTCTCATCGCTTTTTCTTTTTAGGACTCAGTTACGTTTCTGCTCTCTTGGTTTTGCCTAAAAGATAAATGTCGCACCTAAACTCTAGTAACAAGCAACTTGTGCTTTGGAGGATGAAAGGATAGAAATGCAAATGCATGATTACATTATTGTTGGTATGAAATATTTGATCTGGACTCTCCTAAAAAGACCATCTTTGATAACTAAAGTAAATACGAAACATAAAAATAAAAATAAACATAAGTGCCCTATTGTACACCTGGAATATTTGTCTTCATTGACAAAAGCAGACAATCAAAAAGCTAAAAGCTAACTTACCTGATATGTTCCAATGCCTATGTGTTTGGGATCAATCTTCACAAGCTCAGCCAGCGGATCTTGGACACGTCTTCCAATCGACACTGCCATCACACACACACAGACACACACACACACACACATGAGATACCTCTACGTCTCATGGGAATCTGTGGTTTGTGTTTTTCATAAACTTGGTATTTGACTCACAGTTATTGAATATGCAAATCCATAGTAGTATGCGTAATTACTCGATATGCTAATTGTCTGCATATTACTGTGTTGGCCTGAGGGCAGGCCAAACCTAATTGTCATTCCTCCACCCCCACTAATAATAATTAAAGCTGGCATTCAGCTGGAGTTGCTGCACCTGTCATTTAGCTTGCTGATAGACGTTTGAGCCATGAACCTTTAAAAACACCAATTTATCCACTTCTGTGCCCTCAGGCAAAAACAGTCAAACGTAGCACACAAACAAATACACAATACTCCTCAACCAACGTTGGGCTTGTTTTATGACAGAGTCTTTAAGGTTTAGATCACACGTCTTTTCTGATTTTCTAAATGACAAAGAGAAAAATTACAATAATCGTATTCACATACACACGGCATTTCCCCACGAGCACACACCAAGCGGAGAAGAATAACACAACCAATCAATTGTGTACTTACATAACCATGGGCAAGACAAAGGGGATGCCAGCTCTGGGCGTTACCGTACACTGTTATGTCTTTTCCATTTATATAATTTTTAAAAAGAGAAAAAGCAATATATACATAAATATTTTTAGTAGTTTGAGTTTCCTTAAAAAATAGAACTTAAAAAAACTGCTATACTCCCCAAACTTTGGCATCACAACACAATTATGACCAACGATTTGCTCATCCATTGATCAATTTCAGGGAACAGTTTGTCCCTTCATTTGTCCTTCCTTTCCTGCCCTATCCACCGTTTTGTGTATGTAGTATGCTGCATGGGATGCATCAGATTCTGATCTTTGAGGTGGAAAAGGCAGACAAAGGGAAGAATAGGATGTAAGAGAGGGAGTATGTCTGGAATCAATGGTCCTCCTCTCTCTCCTCTGGCTGCGGCAGGAGCCTGCTGCCTGAGATAATATTTAGACAGGGATGGAGTTTCAACCTTAGCCTTGCTCAGTACACCACCAAAACTCTCCTATACTCTTTCCATTTATTCCGTCTCTAACCCCCACCCCCCCCTCTGAAGGGAGGTTATTTGTAAATGGAGTCCAGCAGAACTCTCCAGCACTTATTGAAAGTTTATGAGCCAAATACAGTACTACAAAAATGGGAAGCAATGAAGAGCACAACAACTGACGAAGGCCCTGGCCAGACACATTACTCAGGAGAAAACGGAGACATCCAGCCTTCTGGTGAGACACTGATGATGTGGCTGCACAGTTTTTGTTGCAGAGCATGAACTGAGAAAGAAAATGAACTGCTCGCACTCCTCTCAAACATCATTACTCTCAATCAGATCATGAGCTGAAAAAACTTGATTACAACAGGCCAACTTTTAAAGAGATGCAGCATGTCTGCAATGAGTGACCGAAAACCAGTTAGTGACAGCAGTCCTCTGATCAGAGGGGAGACGGGAGGAGCAGAAATAAGTGGAACAAAAACAGTAATCCCTGGAAATGGGTAAAATATTACCTATTACCACTAGGTGTCCCTAATCTCACAATAATCAGTGTAATAAGTCAAAACACCCCCTGCATACAGTGTTACACAGCCATTCATTTAGACTAAGGCAATAGCAAAGATACCCCCGAAAGCCAAAACAGACACACACTGTTATTCATGGTGTCGAGGCTTAGCATCCAAATATAAATTCAGTAGATTTCTTGAGGTTTTCGTTATGGGTATAAATATGGCTCTCTGCAAGTGCTCTGTGCTGCTGACCACAGGATACTAGTGAGGAATAATCCAGCCTTGGCTGATTTATGGTTTTTATAGAGGAAGTCTGCTGGAAACATTTATTCTCCAAAACTCAGTGTGATTCCTTTATATTCTACTGTGTTTTCAATGACGTAGTATGTGCAGAGAGTTAGGAAGAATTGGCAAGGGAGGCAGAGAGGTAAAGCAAAGTTAGGGCGACAGAGGAGAACCAAAAAGCAATGCCAGAAATTCACTGATGTATGAAAGCATTATGAAAGCATTATGCAAAAAAAAAAACAAAAAAAAAAGGTGGAAAACAAAATTGAAGCTGAAACCAGTGGACATACAGCTGTTCCTGACTACCAAATTTCCAACCTTATTCATATTGCTATCCACAAAAACAACACATTAAACCAGGAAAAATCTACTTGCTACTTGACAACAATCAAGCTTTGCAGCTTGGTGTACCTGCACTCCTAAGGTTAGGGTCCAGGTCTGGCATCTCTTGGACTGCCTCGGGACTCACACTGTAGATGGATGCTCCTGCCTCATTGGTTATACTAGGGAAGATATGGGAAAGAAAGAAAAGTAAGAGTTAGAAAAGTAAAGGATGTCTTTGGGAAGATACTGGCAGAGATGTACAAAGGAAAAAGGGAAAACATACAGGTTCGACAGCGGGGGGAAGGTGAAACAGAGGTGAGAAAGATGGGTTTGCATAGGGAGAAAATTGTGAGTTAAGGAGAGGGAGGAGGAAACTAATTAAAACAGCTATTACTACTTGAGAGACATCATCATAATTAAACATGACTTACATCTTTAATAATGTACTTGAAAAGTCCTTAAAACAGTTACTTTATTTGACTCTAGTTACCCCCTTTGTAGCCATGACAAGCCAAAATAGCATCATGACTAGTAGTCCTGCACCCTTAACATTAAGATCTCAGTTACAGTCTTTCAAATGCCTTTAAGTATTCTGACACTTGGCAGCAGGTGTAAAAAAACAACTTGCACTCCAAATACATGTATGAGTCACTGCCTCATGTACCTATGAATACTTAACATGTTCAGAAGTTAGCGAGTCAGTTGGGTGATTGAGTCAATTTGCCCACTGTATGGTATGCACTTTAGGCAACTATAAATTCACAGCCATACATTTTTCTGCATATATGATTCAGAGTACGGTCACTTTTCCACACTGAACTCTCACAAAAGAAAGTGTGACTCAGTAGTAAGATACCGAACCTCTTTACAGCAAATCGTGTGGCACTTCTGCCATCTAGTGGTAGTTTTGGTGCACTGTTTGCCAGCCTCTATAGAGTATTACGGTACTATAGACAAGGGATGTCAAACTCACTTAACCTCGTGAACTACACACAGCCTATTTTAATCTTAAGTGAGGCATAGAAATGCTACTTCTCTTTCTGTCAGTGTAAAGAAACATAACTAAACATTTAATCCCTGAGATGTCTCAACATAACAAAAAAAAGTGCAATTTCAACAGCACGCTTCATTTTTCTACGTGATAAATGTGTGAAATTACAGAAAAATAAATAATTTTACAGACTGTCCTTTATTTATAAATCGAAAAGTTTTTGTTCATTCACAACAAAATGTGAAATTTATATAACAGAAAGTGACAAACATATTAGTAATTTAGTAGTTTATTAGTTTTATTAGTTTATCTATTACTTAAATACTTTGGTGCATTATAAGTGTCAAAGGGGTAGGTCTATATCACTAGGGAACAAAAGGAAAAGCTGTTAATGTAATCAAAATACAATTAAAAGTTCAAAATGCTGCATTCATTCACATTTTCCAAAGCCATGTCAGGACTGAGACATGATGTCAGACATACCAAGTTTCAACTAAGTCCTAAGTAATATAATTATTCTTTCTGCCCAGTTATCTATAAATTTAAGTAACATTAAAAAAATCCATTTACATGTTGCTGCAGAAAGAAAATCGTTAGAATTATGCATAAAGTTAGAAAATAAAACCAACAGTCTGCCTTAATACTTCACATAATTAACCATTAAATAAACTTTTAACGACTCAACTGAAGTCAAGGTCTTTGACAATTCCAGCATTGTTATATTTCATATATATCTTATAATTAAATTCCTGGCAATATAAGGTTAACATGCTACGAATTATACAATTTCCCTGTTAATGCATTCAGTCTAAAGTAGGCTGCTTATCATCCATCACCACACTTGTAAGATGGTGGTACAACAAAGCCACTGATACCCATGTTAATGTTGGTGACACACAAATGAAACTGCCAAATTGTTTAGTCCTCCTATTCTCTTGAGGGGGACTTGGAGAAAGAAAGAAGGGGGAGTTCCCTCAGGGCTAACCAATATGACAAGAGGGTCGTCCCCTCCCCTATGTCCAAAACTAAGGTCTTCCATAGTGCGCTCACACACACAAACACACACGCGTGCACATATACTATCCCAGAGGCCTAGACCTTGCTACAACAACCTTGCCAATTATAAGTATCTCATTAATGAGGAGTGGCAGAGGCCGTCTGATGAGAATCGCATTTAAATTAACTTGTCTGTCCACCCTCCCTTTTTCTTTCTCCTTCCCAATATCTTTATTCAGCCCTTTCTCCATTACACTGTTCTTTTTGTTAACCTCCCATCCATCGCGCTGACAGCTGACATATCGCCATGGTGACACTACTAACGAGCAATGGCACATGACCTTCAAGGAGGTCAAAGCAAAGCTGGTCATTAACCTGACACACATGGGCTCGCGCAGAAACATGCAGGCTTGCAGAGACACAAATTTACATGGTAGATAATGCAGATTAAGACCAGATTAAGATTTCGCTTATATAAACAAAATCATTCACTATACCTAAATCTCAATTTTCCAACAGCAAATGCAAAGGGCCAAATAATTATATATGTATTTATATACATATGAATGTGTATTTCCCAACCCTGATCTCTCTCTCTGCCCCCAAAACAGAGTGGGCAGGTCAATGAGGTGTAGCACCTACACCGTTTGTTTTTCAAGAAAAATTACAACAAGAGAGAGAGAGCGATGCTGTAGACAGAGTGAAAAAAAATGATGGTACAATGAAGCATACACAGGACATATGAAAGTTGAGAATAGGGTGAGAGAAGAAAGCAAGGCCACCAGCCCCTATCACGTCTGACTTAATTAAGGCTGCTGCTGGGGCATCTGGGTAACCACTGTCATAGATACAGCTCTGAGCCCTCATCGCCATAGCATCTATGACTGCAGCCATAGTGAGGGGATCGCCCTGGCAGCCAGCAGAAGGTCATCTGTGGTTGGATGGTGGATGAATGGACAGATAACACACACACACACACACACTCTCTCTCTCTCTTTTGTATACAAAGTCACTGGTTGCCTCTTGGTGTGAAGCAATGATTTCTGCCCCTGTAGGGATATCGTTCACTCGCATGTTCATTTGCTCTCTTAATTGTACACAAACATAAATATAGACTTGCCTTTAGCCATGCCCTTTCCTGGGGGAAAGTCACAAACTCAATGGTCCACACACACACACACACACACACACACACACACACACACACACACACAGCTACTCCTCAAGAAAACAGAACTGTTATTAGCCACAAAGCCCCAACTCAACAACTTGAAGAAAGGGATGCTGTAACTGAATATCTGTCTATTTAGATGTTTGTTGTTTAGGCCCTATGGTTTTATATTTCACTAGTCTGATATTTCTCTTTTTAATTTGGAAATACCCTTACACTTGAGATGCTTCAGTTCACATAATTGTTGCCAATTTTGGAATGTTTTATACCAATTATATGCTTTTTTCATAAAAGGAATCAATAACAAAAATCAGTAGACAGGAGTGCTTTGCCTCTCACACTTAAAGGAGCTGTAGCACCAACAGTCCGCACACAGTCAATTACCAGCAGGTGCAGTCACTTAAGAGAGTAAATCAAGTAAAACATGCCTAGTAAAGAATATATACAATATATATGTGTGTAAAATACATAATATGACCAAATGCTGATGAATAAATCCCCCAAAACTGATTCTGTTTATCTGGATGTAGCCTTGTCAGTGGGAGAAATGATGAATTTAAAAAAGCATTCTGTGTGCTGCAAAGATTAATACCTTTGAAATCACTGATTTTGTAATTCAGCTGGACAACTAACCTAAACCTACATCCAAAGCAGAGATATTTTTTAGAATGAAGATGAGGGATATAACTGCCAAAAGTCAGTCACTTGAATTCAGCAAGACTTTGCATGCATTTCACTTGCTTAAAAGAGATCCCATATAGAATGCGAGTGTAGGTGGCTGCAATCTGCTGCTTAATATGCAAAAGAAAGCAGCAAAGGGTACTGATCTCCAATACCTTTCTCTCTGTGTTAATGATACCCAGTCAAGCTGAAGTAGAAACCTTCCTATTTACTGCTTTACTTAAATATGGTAAGGAAAAGACAACGCAAACTTTGTTGCCCAAATATGTCTAACCTGGACCATGTTTTCTATTCCAGCAACTGTGTTTGTGTTCAAGATACTTGGATTGGCCTCATTTTATTGCCTCAGAATGAGCTGTAACATCAGATGTTGTCACCCAAAAATAAATTTGCACGCGCACGCGCACGCGCACACACACACACACAAAAACACACACAGTAAGTTTCTCTGTCCCAGCTGCTCAAACAGCTTCGTTCCATTGTTCAGTCAGCTGCAAAGCTTGACCTGAGGGAGACAAATTGAGGGATGCGCCATATCGCACTCTCTCTCTCTCCCTCTCTCTCTCACACACGCACACACACACACACACACGTCGGTTCTGAAGACAATGACATTTTTCACAGAGAAAAGCGTCCAAATGGCAGGTGTCAGAGGCCGTCAGTCTCTTTCGAGGCGCTAGAAGGCAGGCAGCCGAACGCACACACACATAAACTCCAACTGCCAGTGTGAGGCATGTCTGAAAAGAGCAAAGCCTCACAGACACTCACGTCAATCTGGTAGCAGGAAAGGCCTGCACTTGTGTCATACACAAAAGCATACACAACCACATGCAAACACGCAATACACACATGGCATGTCACACACATTCATCACACATTTTTGTCACACAAGACTATTGTAGGGAACCGTGTAGCCCTAGGGTGAAACGTGGGGAAGAAGGGACCGAGGCTGGCCACCAGTGAGCACGGTGGGAGGAGCGACAGGCCTGTGGCTCCTCAGAATGAAAGTGGCAGATATTTACTGTTCACCACCTGCAAATGCCAAGTCCTCAACCCAACCCAAACCATCTGTGACTATGTTAAGCTAAAAAAGTCCAAATAAACCTTCTTCAAAAAACAATACTGCTTGAATTATTTGTTTTTTTACAAGCCATTTACTTCAGTAATGGAAAGAGCAAAATATCTCCAAGAGCTCCGTGAGGATGAAATAGAAAGAGAGCAACAAAAAGCTTCCTGCTTTGTACCAAAAAGAAAGGGCAAACGAGATCAAATGAAAAAGCTGTGAAGAGCACAGAAGGTGGGCACAGATGTCACAGTGCTTTTCATGCCCTTTAGACTTT